TTGGGTGTTCAGATATATTGTGCATTTAAAAAAATAAGAAGGTTTTGGCGAGCTAGTCTGTAAAAAGACCAATATTTCGAATATTAGCTCTGTGAGAAAGAGTCTGAAACTCTCAATCATCAATTTATATTCAAATTTCTGGAACTCATCCAATTTGGGAGCTTATCTATATAATCTATAACCAACCTGAAGAAAACAAGCCACTATTCTTCTTGCTAACTATGAATGTTTATAGACAGTTAAATTAACATTCACTTAACAAATAAATTTCAAAATTTCAGATCTAGCTACTTTGGAAAAGGCTGCAAAAAGTGTAAGTTAAATGAGCACCATGTTGAAAAAAAATGTTCTTGTTTGAGCACTAACACAGTTTAGAGGTCCAATATATCTGATGCATCTCTCTACAGAATCAACATGTAGGAATTCAAACATAAAATTGCGAGAAATCCAACTGTCTAAAAAGATTCAGTTTTAGAGATTCTCTGACTTTACCTTGTTCTACTTTATAACAATCCTAGATGGTTTGCCTAGGTATTAAATAAGCCAATTTTCATTTGGACTCATCACCTGTGAGAGAACTGTTGGTGGGAGGGGGGAGGGTTCTGCCTTTAAAACAAGGTGGTATTAGAATTCTCCTTGCCTATGGTAGGAAAGTCACTATTAATCTGCAACCTCTCTGTAACCCTCCACATCTGTCCAGACAAAACTTCCTTCTCCTTCACTTACTCATAACTGGCCACTGTCCAAGGGCTAGTTTTAAAACCTCAAAAACTATATACAGTTTTTATTAAGAGGTTATATTTGCTTCTAGCTGTGAATGTTTATACAGTTAATACACACTTTGAATTTTTTATCTCCACAAAATAAAAAATAAAAGAAGCCAGACATTGTGGCATGTACCTGTAGTCCTAGCTACTTGGGAGGCTGAGGTAGGAGGATCACTTGTGCCCATGAGTTTGAGGCTATAGTATGCCATTACTGCACCTATAAATAGCTACCGAGCTCTAGCCCGGGCAACACGGCAAGACCCTGACTCTAAAATAATAATAATAATAATAATAATAGTAATAATAATTTTTCAAAGATTTCAGTCAACAACGTTAAGAATGGCTACAACCTTATTAACTTTTTGAATGACATTTGCTAGATTGAAATACTGTCAAATATTTAAAACTTGAAATCTTTGGTTGTTACAGTATCCCCAAGAGGAAGGTTACATGTAAGTTATATTAGTTCTTAAGACACCAAACAAGTGATGTAGCAGAAAAGTTTAATGATTTAGACACAGTTAAATCAGGAAATTAAAAACTGTCAAATATCCAAACCTAACCAAAACAAGCAATGGGGAAAGGATTCCCTATTCAATAAATGATGCTGGGATAACTGGCTAGCCATAGCAGAAGGTTGAAACAGGACCCCCCTGCCCTACTTCCTTAAACCACATACAAAAAGTAACTCAAGGTGAATTAAATACTTAAATGTAAAATCCAGAACTATACAAACCTTGGAAGACAACTTAGGTAATACCTTTGTAGACACAGGAACAGGCAAAGATTTAATGGGAAAGCCACCAAAACCAATTGCAACAAAAGCAAAAATTGACAAACGGGATCTTATTAAAGAGCTCCTGCACAGCAAAGGAAACTATCAACAAAGTGAACAGACAACCTACAGAATGGGAGGAAAATGGTGCAAACTATGCATCTGACAAAGGTTTAATACCCAGCATATATAAGAAACTCAAAATTACAAGGAAAAAAGCAAACAACCCCATGAAAAAGTGGGCAAAGGAGATGAACACTTTTCAAAAGAAGACATAAATGTGGCCAAGAATCATACGAAAAAAAAGCTCAACATCACTGATCCATTAGAGAAATGCAAATCTAAATCACAAGGAGATACCATTTCAAATGTCAGAATGGCTGTTATTAAAAAGTCAAAAAATAATACATGTTGGAAAGGATGCGGAGAAAAAGGAACACTTAACACACTGTTGTTGGTGGGAGTTCAACCATTGTGGAAGACAGTGGGGCAATTCCTCAAAGACAGAAATATCCTCTGACTCATCAATCCCACTACTGGGTATATACCCAAAGGAATATAAATCATTTTGTTATAAGACACATGCATCCATTATGTTCACTGCAGCACTGTTCACAAGAGCAAACACATGGATCAACCTAAATGCCCATCAATGATAGGCTGGATAAAGAAAATGTGAGTTAATATGTACCAAGTGAATACTACACAGCCATAAAAAAGAAAGAGAGTATGTCCTATGTGGAAACATGGATGGAACCGGAGGCCATTATCCTCAGCAAACTCACGCAGGAACAGAAAAGCAAATTCCACATGTTCTCACTTGTAAGTGGGAGCTAAATGACTGAGAACACATGGTACATAGAGAGGGGAACACACACAGGAGCCTATCAAGAGGATGGAGAGTTGTAGGAAGGAGATCAGAAAAAGTGACTAATGAGTCCTAGGCTTAATACCTGAGGGACAAAGTATCTGTAAAACAAACCTCCGTGACACAAGTTTACCTACATAACAAACCTGCACATGTACCCCTGAACTTAAAACTTAAAAAAAATTTTAAATATCACAATACACAAGAAGTCTGTATTCTAGATATATTACACAAAAAGTAAATGTACAGAATACTAAGACTGTGTGTAAATATATTATTATGCGGTCAAACATATTTGCGATTTTCAAATTGAAAGCCAGAGGTTTATAATTTATTGATATTTAAAGGCACTCATATTAAACATGAACAATTATGGAGTATAATGATAAGACAGTGGAGCAAACATGAGAAACAAACGCAAACACTTTTAGTCTCAAATTTTGAATTTTGAATGAGAACGCTTTCTATTTCCTAAATAACTGAACTTCAAGTAGATAATGCAAACTAGCCAATTAATTTCATCATGCAAATCTGTTAGGATATAATCAACAGATACATTTACTATGCCAAGTAATTGCTAAAAGCCACTTCCACATTTCATGAGCAAATGAATGGGAAAAAGTGTCTATTGTCACCACTGTAATAGTGTGGCTGAAGCACCACCATACTATAGACTGAAAGAGAGGGAAGAATTGAGAGACTGACTCCTAAATCAACTTGCAAAACACTATCCAAAGTCATATGCTCATTTCAATGTTAAATTCTCTCCCTCCCAACATTTTTCTTACCTGAGTAGAAATCTCACACAAGTGCTACTATATCTGCTAAGTTTTTCACAGAACACTTTTATTTAACCAATAATTCTTAGCTCAGAGAACAGTGACTATTATTAGTAGGCTCTAAGTCCCACTGTCTTCATTCACTACTGTATCTCTAATTCCTAACACAGTACCTCGCACATAGTAGATGCTCAAAATATACACTGAATTTAGCCAATCTTTCAATTGGTTATACTGTTTACTGGTACCCTTTCAACACATTTTGTTTTAAACCAAAATTTACATCTTAAAAAAACAAAATTTCTCTTAAGCTTTTGAAGTCTGTTTCTCTATAAAATTTTGAAAAAAAAAAAAAAAAACACACTTTCATTTTCCCTTTACTTTATTCAACTCATTAGTCAGGACAGAACTACTTGACTTTTCACCCCCAAGTCTATTGTAAAGTATGCCAAGACTACATTACAATCTTTTTTTAGGTTTTGGAGTATCTAGAGATTTTGCTCAGTAAAGAATGGTACAGTCTAAAGCACCAGCCCTAACAAAAATACCAGTTAGCTTCCAGAGCTCATAAATTGAACTTAAAGGCACTCATATTAAACATAAACAATCATGCGAGGATAGACAAAGACAGATATGCACAGCATAGGTAGTTTTGGGTTTCTCTTCAAGACTTTTTTTCCCATTAGCCATCTATTTACTCTATTCATTGAATAAACTTTTATCCTCCCTACTCCTAAATATGTTCCCTTCATTTACTCTATACTCTTAGATAAAAAGAAACAAGCTGCGTTTCAACCATGCTTGCTTACTTTTGAAAACAGCCATTACAAACATTACTTTTTACTTACACTTAACCCAAAAGATTTTAATGCAGCAGTTCTCAAAGTGTGGTCCAAAGAATCTTGTAGAGTAGGAGAAGTAGAAGAGCCTTTGAAATCCTTTTAGATTAACGAAGTAAAAACTATTTTCACGATAACACTAAGACTGTATCTGCCCCCACCCCTTTTTTTTTTTTTTTGAGACGGCATCTCACTCTGTCTCCAAGGGTGGAGTGCAGTAATGTGATCACGGCTCACTGCAACCTCCACCTACCAGGTTCAAGTGATTCTCCTGCATCAGCCTCCTGAGTAGCTGGGATTACAGGCATGCATCACTATAGCAGGCTAATCTTCTGTTTCTTTTTAGTAGAGATGGGGTTTCGCCATGTTGGCCAGGCTGGTCTCAAATTCTGGACCTCAAGTGATCTACCCACCTCGGCCTCCCAAAGTGCCAAGATTACAGGCATGAGCCGCCGTGCCCAGCCGTATATGCCTTTTTCATTCCCATTCTCTCCGGTATAGCAGTAGAGTTTTCCAGAGGACACAAGATATGTCCTATCACAATAAACTGAGTGAAGAAGCACATGTGAGAAATCCTCATCCTCAAGCCAGATATTAAAGAGTTTGTAAAAATACAGAAAATGCCACCCTTGTCATTAAATATTTTTTGTCTTAGAAAATTTGCTTTTCATTTAAAAGTTGTCAATTATATTTATGTTTAATGAAATAAATTTAAAAATCTAAATTCTTTTAATTTCTAATATGACAAATATTGACAGATATAACCCAGGTAAAGAAAATCTGAGGTCCTCAATAATCTTTTGAAGGGTTCAGAAATCTTGAGATCACTGAGTTTGAGAACCACTGCATTAGTGTGCTGGTAAAAATAGAAAACAACATCCTTCCCTCCTTCTAAATTATACTTGAAACATGAAATTCATAAAACGTAAGGTAATTTTAACTTAAAATATTATTTTAAAGCATTGGACTTACCGTTATAGGTTATTCTTGGCTTTGTTAAACACATTACAAGATGCAAATCCATTTCATCCGAGGGTACAAATTTTGAGCATACGGGGCACTTAAATCCTAAAAAGTAAAAGAAACTCAAGTTACTTAACTATTCTGAATATCCAACTATGGCTTTTAAAAAGCATGTAAGATCAAAAAGCATCTGAAACTTCAATATTACACTTACTGTATTACACTGTTTATGTGCAACTGAGGTCGGGAAAAGTTTGTGATTGTAGCATCTGACTTTGTATCAGTTTACAAAGACAATCTCCTCATCAAACAAAAAATGAAGGGACACAGTCCACTACAAACTCCTGTATCTCTCTTTAATGTACTCATCCAATTATTCTCTTGTTTTTAACTTTTTACATTAACCTGTACTCATGATTTCATGTAATTATAAGCTTTGTAATCTGACGACTCTTGTGGAAATTACCTTTCCCAATGTGGTATAGTACACTGTGAGTCACAAGTTTTAAAGCTAAATAGTACCTTAGACACCATTCTACCTCAATAACCTTAAAAATTTATCTGATGCAGAAATGTGAAGCCTTTTAAAACCTATAATAACAGGCCTAGGATCTAAGACTCCTGACTTCCGCTTTAATGGTCTTTCTGCCACACCAAGGTACTAAAGTCATAATGAAAACAGAAAATACCATCAGATCAGGGTGCAGGTTTTTGCAGTCAATTTTGACACTTAAAAATTAGCTAGTTTTTGCGCCGGGCACGGTGGCTCAAGCCTGTAATCCCAGCACTTTGGGAGGCCGAGGCGGGTGGATCACAAGGTCGAGAGATCGAGACCATCCTGGCCAACATGGTGAAACCCTGTCTCTACTAAAAGTACAAAAAATTAGCTGGGCATGGTGGCACGTGCCTGTAATCCCAGCTACTCAGGAGGCTGAGGCAGGAGAATTGCTTGAACCCAGGAGGCGGAGGTTGCGGTGAGCCGAGATCACGCCATCGCACTCCAGCCTGGGTAACAAGAGCGAAACTCCATCTCAAAAAAAAAAAAAAAAAAATTAGCTAGTTTTCTACAAGATTCAATCTGCACTACTAAGTATTTGCCTGAAGTACTCCATTAAAAATAAACTGACATACAGAAAAACAAACTCTTCAATGTATTCAGCTCTATTCTGCCCCTTCACGTACCAAGGTGAACTGTCCCACCCCTGCCTTCTTGTTGCTTACGCAGTCCTCAGATACACCATGATCCTACCATTCCCTCCCATGACAGCCCTAAGCTGTTTGGACACCTGAACCCAGACAGCCAATTTATAGTTTGGCTAGGCACAAATCAGAAGTGGAACAAAAAGATGGCCTAGGCCAATCCTTCCTTTTTTTTTTTTTCTTGGAAATACGATTAAGAAACAGTGAGAGACTATATTGGCCAGCAGTAAAGAGCTTAAGCAGAAAGGTCAAAAGTAAGTAAAAGGGAGACAGGAACGTCCATGATGGCTCAGGTGTAAGCTGAACTTAGGAGAGAACAGAAACTAGGCAAGCACAGGAAAGAAGGCCACATGAAGAAGACGGAGCTAAAGTGTAGACAGAAGCAGACGCCCTGGGAGACTCAACTAAGACAGGTGGAGAAAGAGACGTTTTGGCAACTCTCTAGTTCCAGCACATGCGTTCTCACAGGAACTGTCCTCCCTTCACTATGACATGAAACTCACTGCAACCAAATGAGTGAAAGCAGAATTAAACCTCATGCTGAACGTTCTAAGGACTGGGAAAAAGGTTTCGGCGCAGCTACTTCTCCAGGTATTCCATTTCCTAAGTGAAATATATGATTTTGGACAATGTTTTTCAAACTGTATTAAATGCATTTTAAAAGAAAGGAAAAAAGGTATGTTTACTTCAACTTCTTGAAAACCACCAAAAAGAGAAAGAAAAAAACCGGAAAGAGGATTCAATTAAAACAAGCTTGGTCAACCCATGACCTGAACATGGCCCAACACAAATTCGTAAACTTGCGTAAAACATTATGAGATTTTTTGATGTGTGTGTGTGTTTTTTTTTAAGCTGAGCAGCTATTGTTAGTATAACTTATGTGTGGCCCACGGAAGCCAAAAGATTAGACACCCCTAAAAATGAAACTACAAAAAAGCTGTAATGGCCAAACACAGGCTACACAGAATACAGTGAAACTGACCAACTATGGGGAGAAAACAAAGAGATCCTAAAACTGCAACCAGATTTTAGGCATGAACTAATTCCTGCCTTGAAACTTGAAAAATTTGCTTCCCAGAAGTTAAACTTAGCATAAAAGAGGGCAAGAGGCAACGGATTTGAATCATCGGAATCATCTGAATATGGGCAAACAAACTTAAATCAAAAGAGCAATACTGTGAAGCTAAAAAGCCTCATTTGAGAGCCATCCAACTGCCTACAAAGTAGAGCCTAAGGAGAAAAACAGTAAGTACAAAGAACCACCTGGATTTCTAGTTACATACAGTGAATGAAACATGTTTCTCTTCTCCCCTCCAAAACCTACTGAAATGAAAATAAATAAAATTTTAAAATGAGTTAAAGAAGAACTTGAGAGAAGTTGGCAGCAAATGAGAAAATAAATAAATAAATGAAAGTATCAATGGCACCGAGCAAACACAGATCCTGAGTGCCTGCAGAAGTAAGCCAATTCTCATTCAATAATCCCCAAAGGACTCCGGCATCTGGAGCTTCATGACTTCCCAAGACAATAGTGATTCATGAGGCTAAAATCTAGACTGACTGAAAGCCAGAATAAAAAACAGATCCAAGCAAATACCATGCCCCCACTACAGCATGAAGATGGAGATTTACTGTGGAAAAACAAAAAACATCAAAGAATATTCAGAACTGAGAATACCAGGCACAGCAATGGGCAGGGGAGAAAAGAGAAGAATAAACAAAGATCTATGAACTGAAAAAGGCCCCACTCCACAGCTTCCATCTCTATTCATTAAGAAATTGGTAGATTCTTCTCTTAAATCAAAAGGTCCCACAGAATGATACATCAATATCCTTGCCTATTAATAAGCCCTATCTTTGCACATAAAGTTTACAGTCAGTGTTTTTAGGGCATCTCTTAGGCATTATGCAATAAAAGAAAAATAAAGGTGTCATGGTTAAACACATCAGAAGGAAATTCAAAAGACAAATAAATTTAAAATATTTGCAATGTATATCAAAAACAAAAGGACAATATCCTTAATATACAAATGCTCCTTGACTTAGAATGGTAAATTGAAAGTCTAAGCTGAAAATGCATACACCTAAACTACCAAACATCATAGGTTAGTCTAGCCTACCTCAAATATGCTCAGAACACTTTCAATAGCGTATTCAATAAATTACATGAGATATTAGGCCCAGCACTACCAGAGTATCATAATGTATATTGCTAGCCCTGAAAAAGATTAAAATTCAAAGTATAGTTTCTACAGAATATATATCACCTCCAAACTATTATAAAGTCAAAAATCCTAAGTTAAACATCTATATAAAGCACTCTTAAAATTGAGGAAAATAAACCCAAATATTGTTGGAAAAAATGGACAAAAGTTCTAAACAGACATCTTACTAAGAAAAGATACACAAACGCTCCTTAAACAAATTTTAAAACTGTGGTATTTGAATAAAAGAAGCATTTTCCTTTCAAGTTCTTTATGTTCATTTAGTCTCATTTTAGTGGGTTTGGGGGAAGGAGAGAAACACGTTTTACTCACTGTTCTTAACTAGAAATCTGGGTGATTCTTGCACAAACTGTATTCTCTCCTTAGGCTCTACTTTATCTCTACACTGAGGTATGATTTCTCATCCCAGGTCAGCAAAAATTAAAAAGCCTGACAACACACTTTGCTGGTAAGGCTGTGGGCAAATCAATACTTTCATACACTGCTGGCAGGATGGCAAAATTGTACAATCTCTACATTTCTGGGTATGTGGCAATATCTAACCAAACTACATATGTACTTATCTCCTGACGCAGACCTAGGAATATACTCTGAAGGTGTGTCCCCCTACAATACAAAAAAAATATGGCAATAATTTATTGTGGCACTATTTGAAACAGTACAGTACTGGAGACAATTTAAGTCATTACATAGAAGACATGTGGTGAATACACCACGGTGCATCCACACGATGAGTACTATATAGCTGTAAACAAAAAAAGAAATGAAGATCTCTAAACTGATATGGAGTGATGACCAAGCTATATTAAGTTAAAAAAAATGCAATGCAAACATGCAATGCTAGCTATTGTGCAAAGAAGATAAATAAGAATGCATGTACATGCATATCTGCAAAAAAGAAAAGCAAGAAGCATAAACTCCAACCTAGGGTTTACACCATGCTACCTACAGATAGCGAGAATGGTAAAAGACATGGGTAAGACAGTACTCATTAGTGTAGCTTTTTTTTTTTTTTTTTTTTTTTGAGACGGAGTTTCGCTCGTTACCCAGGCTGAAGTGCAATGGCACGATCTCGGCTCACCGCAACCTCCGCCTCCTGGGTTCAGGCAATTCTCCTGCCTCAGCCTCCTGAGTAGCTTGGATTACAGGCATGTGTCACCATGCCCAGCTACTTTTTTGTATTTTTAGTAGAGACGGGGTTTCACCATGTTGACCAGGATGGTCTCGATCTCTTGACCTTGTGATCCACCCGCCTCGGCCTCCCAAAGTGCTGGGATTACAGGCTTGAGCCACCACGCCCGGCTAGTGTAGCTTTTAATAAAGTTTTTGACTTTTGAAATAATGTTCATGATTTACATGTTCAAAAATAAAAACAAACCAACAAGGATTAGCAGAAAATCCCTACCTAAAATAGGAAAAAAGCTAACTACATATCAAACCGATAACCATAAAGAAAAGTACACACACACATAGCTCTGTCCAAAAAGGGCTTAGAAGCAATGACACTCCAGTAGCATACACAGCAGAACTTAGGTTTCTAAGTGTCATTCCCTCAGGAAAATAATTAGAGCTGCCTGGAGAAATGGCTGCTTCTAGCTCTCAGGCAGTGAAAGTACAAGGTGAGCCTGGGCTATCTTGTGCCAGACCTAGGAGGTATTCAAAAGCTGATAGGGACATATA